TCCTCGTCCCATCGCGGGGCCGGGCACCCCTCAGGGAGGAGGGGGAGGGTGCGCATCTGGGGCTGTGAGCGCGGGATGAGGGCTGAGCCCCTCCCCTGGGACAGTACCGACCTGTGTAGGCCAGTGCCCAGGCGCTGGGCAGGTAGTGCCCAGGCAGCTCAGGTGAGGAGTGCGCCCAGCTGCCTATAGTAAGCAGGATGACTTTTATTTGTTTGTTTGTTTGTTTGTTTTTTCTTAAAATCTAGAGGCGTCTAGGTGTCTTTCCGCTTTCTATATACCAGGCGGCTTAACTGTGAATTGAGTCTAGCGCTTCAGTTCCACCCTGCCGGTGGCAAATCTGCGCTCCTGTCAGCTGTCCAGGGGAGCAGATTGCCTGGGGAAGAGCCTTAGGGCAGGAGAGCTCGGCGGAGGGACCCGGGAGTGCGCTTCTGCAGGGTGGTTGCTTGAGGCAGGGGTTGGGGAAGAGGTGGGTTTATGTGCAGCAATGCGGCCAGCAGCAAAGAACTTCCCTAGCTGGCAGCGAAGAATTGTTAGAGAAGTCTGTCAACCTGATGTTTAAGGGAGGTCGACGTAAAATTGTACACCCGTCTGGATGTGTAACGTTACCTGCCTCTCTTGGATTCATGACACTGTTTTTAATCATCACGATGTTTTGGGTATCGCCTGTTGTGTTTCTAGTTTTTTATTTGCAGGCTTCTTTTGCCAAAGGTTTGGTGTGCAAGTTGCTTGAGAGAAACATCCGCGTGGTGACTGTTTAATGAGTGCAACCATCCCCCTGTAAGCTAATCGCATAGCTGAGTTGTTGTCAGTGTGCACAAATCTTTGGGTTAATATCTCACAGTAAGGAGCAACTTTTAGGCTATGTTTTTAAATATACCTAATATTTGTTTCTGCTTGTCTAACTTTAACTCTGCAATTAAAATAACAAAACCCTATAAAACATATTTAAAAAAAAAAGAACAAAAAGAAAGGCTTGTAAATCCATTAGGTAAATTAGATGGCGTAAAAGTTTGTCCCCTATACGACCTGGTAAGAGGCTAGCAGCAGTCCTTTGTCTTACCCATCAGGACATGAGAACCTTTTCATAAAACTTTGGTCAAAACTCACGTTCCTCTGGAAAGACTGTGAATTTGTAATTTTCTGACAAAAAGTTACTGACACGTTCCCAAGCTCTTGCTTATGGAATTGACTTTTATCTCTGGTCTCAGATCCTGGGTGGAGAGAGACTTCTAATAGGATTGACATAAATGCTTTAATTCAAGGAAGAACATGTGTAATTGATTCCATGGAAATCGGTGTTCTGGTTCATTTGGTTAAGTACAATAATAGGACCAAGGGAGAGAGATGCAGAGGGAATTAAGTGACCAAACAGAGGGGACTGATTACTGCTGAAGAGTGATGGGGTGATTAGTTTCCCAGGTTTTGTGGAGTGCCCTGATGCACGCGGTGGTGGGCAGGAGCACACCGGTGCAGACACAGGGCAGTTCACTGCATGAAGCTACTGTGCAAAGGTGTGCGCTTCAGGTACCAGCTGTATACTAATTGGGTGTTGGGTTTTTTTTTTCATGGTGTTAAAACACTACTGGGTGTTTAGTGTCAGTTTAGCTCTTTGTGGGAACTCCGGAGGAGCTAAAAGGGGTTTTGTTGGCCCTTAAATCGATTTGAGCCTTTTGTTACCTGTGACCAGTGCAGCGTGACACACAAATCCTGTCGTGGTTTAACCTCAGCCGGTGACTGAGCACCACGCAGCCGCTTGCTCACTGCCCCCCAAGTGGGATGGGGGAGAGAATCGGGAGAGTAAAAGTGAGAAAACTCATGGGTTGAGATAAGAACAGTTTAATAATTGAAGTAAAATAAAATAGTAATAATAATAATAATACACAAAGCAAGTGATGCACAATTCAGTTTCTCCCCACCTGCCAACCGATGCCCAGCCAGTCCCCGAGCAGCGGCCCCCCCAGCCAGCTTTCCCCAGTTTATGTACTGAGCATGACGTCCCATGGTATGGAATGTCCCTCTGGCCAGTTTGGCTGTGCCCCCTCCCAGCGTCTTGTGCACCTCCAGCCTGCTCAGTCGGCAGAGCATGGGAAGCTGAAAAGTCCTTGACTAGTGTAAGCACTGCTTAGCAACAACCAAAACATCGGTGTGTTATCAACATTATTCTCATACTAAATCCAAAACACAGCACTGCACCAGCTACTAGGAGGGAAATTAACTCTATCCCTGCCGAAACCAGGACAGATCCAAAGGACCAGCTTGCACTAGCGAGGACAACAATTTCTCACTCTGGAAAAAGTGCCAGCACCAATTTTGTTACAATTAGAATTGAGTTTAGTAAATAGTAGAGTTTAGACTAATTCAATTCTCAAATATTACATGTAAGTGTTGATGGACACACAGAACGAAAGTAATTGTTATTTAACATGATAGTCATGTTGACTAAGTAAATATAATTAACGCTGGTAAAGACAGAAATTACCAGATGGTCAGGACTGCTGTGATTAATATTTCATTTTGTGTACATGGTTTCACTGTAATTCACGAATGCCTAGGTGTTGCAGTAGGACACTGCATACTTAAAAACTAAGTGAATTGTTCCCTGAGTCTGTCTGGCCTTAATACAGAAATGGAATTTTATGTTAATGGTTTCCTAACTACTCCAAACCAGGTAATGCATTCACTTTTATGTAATTGCCTGTGAGGTATATAGTTAGATACTGCATTTTCACTTTATGTAAAATTTCGTGATTATATGTGTCCTGCCCTGCCGAGGGATAGAGTTAATTTTCTTCCTAGTAGCTGGTGCAGTGCTGTGCTTTGGATTTAGGATGAGAACAATGTTGATAACACCGATGTTTTAGTTGTTGCTAGGTAATGCTTACACTAGTCAAGGACTTTTCAGCTTCCCATGCTCTGCCGACTGAGAAGGCTGCAGGTGCACAAGACGCTGGGAGGGGGCACAGCCAAACTGGCCAAAGGGACATTCCATACCATGGGACGTCATGCTCAGTACATAAACTGGGGGAAGCTGGCCGGGGGGGCCGCTGCTCGGGGACTGGCTGGGCATCGGTCGGTGGGTGGTGAGCAATTGCACTGTGCATCACTTGCTTTGTGTACTATTATTATTATTGTTGTTGTTATTTTATTTCAATTATTAAACTGTTTTTATCTCAACCCACAAGTTTTTCTCACTTCTACTCTTCCAGTTCTCTCCCCCATCCCATGGCGGGCAGGGCGGACGGTGAGTGAGTGGCTGTGGTGTTCAGTTGCCGACTGAGGTTAAACTACGACAATATGTTGGTCTATATTGTAATCTTTAGAAATAGTGAAAATCAAATTTAAATATCTCTTTGCAAACAGGATTATGCAGACTTATGAATGAGAGAAATTAGAGGTGCTTTTCAAATAACAGTTGCTGGAATCGTGTTTTACTTTTTTAGTGGTTCTTAAGAGTACCAGAGGTGGTTGCCATCTAGGCTGGCTAAAAAGTCATCGCATGTTGCTGAGTATCATAAAAGTACCTAGAAAAATGGGAATTAATTATTACTGGTTTTAAGGGTGGTATTGCAGCTGTGTAATGAACCATGCCCCCCTGCCCCCAGCAAAATGCTGCTGGTTCTGTGTGACTTTGTGCTGTCTCAGTGCTATCGGGTGTGCTGAGCACCAGGTGTTTCCCCTCGGAGCTTTGTTTGCTAGGGGCCCTTGTTCTCTTTCCCGACTGCCTTTGGTTGCTGACCTTCTGCTCGGCTGCCTTCGGAGAAAAAAAATGAAAGCTTAAATCAGTGAGCACTACAGTAGGGATTTGGGGCAGTGTGTTGGTTTACAGTGAGACTGTATTTCTGAGTGGCATGTTTCCACGAATCATTTCATTAATTAGAGTGGGATGTGGTGCCGTAAGTAGCGTTGCTGGTGTGTTTTGTTGGGGTAAGCCCTAATGTGAAACACTTGGTGCTGTGTCTTGTTGATTCTGCTGCTGTGAGTGAAATCCCTGTGGTGGGAGTTGGATTGAAATGGCGACAGCAAACATCCCAGCTGCTGTGTTTAATGGGTCACTGTTGCTGTGCTTGTAATGGTGTCGGGCGTGAATGGCAAGAGCATGCTTACCAGGGAACCTGCTCCTCGGCTGAAACCAGTGGGTGCCATGTCTGTGTTCCTGGTGTCTCGGACTAGAAAGCGATATAGCTTAAGGTTAGGGAGATAAACACAATTTTTAGTGTGCAAAGGAGCAAGAAGGTTGACTTTAATCGTGATGTGCACTTTTCCTGAATCAGCCACTCTGCTGCTCCAGATAAGAGGCTGGGGAAAAAAGGCCACAGAGATACTTCAGGGAGTATGTGTGGAGGGGAGAGGTGCAGAGCCTTCCTAGTACGTTAAGGCTTCTTCAGGGCTACTCTGCTGTCCTTGAGAGTTATTTTTATTCATTTGGGGGGTGTGTGTGTGTGTGTGTTAATAGCCTGGGTTCAGTCTTACTTAAGAGCTGGCCATGCATATGTACATGACACTGCGCTCTAGCCGATGAGTCCAGGTTTGTACCTCCAAGGGAGCCAACTTCTGTCTGGGAGAGCTGACAGTAAGCCAGAAGAGAGAAACCCAGATGGGTTTGAGTTGACTAAATGCTCTCTGGTATCTCCATATTGTCTCTCCTTCCTGTTCCTGATGTCGGGAAGCTTCACCCTCTTGTTTTTGGTGTAGGCTGTACGCAGAGTTAAACTCTGCCAGATCTGCCTCTTTGCTTTGGATTGAGCTGGCTCTGAACGTCTGGAGCTGCTTTTGCTTGGTGTTGTGCAGCAGTGTTTGTGTTTCAGAACAGGCTGGTCCTCCGCAGAGGTACCAGGTTGATTCATAATTGTCCGGTTTCGGCTGGGATAGAGTTAATTTTCTTCCTCATAGCTGGCATAGTGCTGTGTTTTGGATTTAGCATGAGAATAATGTGATAACACACTGATGTTTTAGTTGTTGCTAAGCAGTGTTTATACTAAGTCAAGGACTTTTCAGCTTCCCATGCTCTGCCAGTGAGGAGGTGCACAAGAAGCTGGGAGGGGGCACAGCCAGGACAGCTGACCCAAACTGGCCAAAGGGATATTCCATACCATGGGACGTCATGCTCAGTGCATAAACTGGGGGGAGTTGGCCAAGGGGGCAGTGACTGCTGCTCGGGGACT